CATTTCATTTTTAAAGGAAACTAGATTTATTTATAGGCAGATAATTTGGACATATTATTAATATATAGATATATTTTATTTATTAAATGCCTTTCAAGAGCTCTTTAGTGGTCCCTTCTCCAGTGTTTTCCAAGCTTGTCTAGACGGGAGAAAATGATTAGCCCAGTGGTGAAATGTAAAATTTGTTGCTACTGTTTCTGTGGGCGTGGCTTGGTGGGGAGGGTCATGTGACTGGGTGGGCGTGGCCAACTCTTTTTTTTTTACTTTTTTAAAGCATTTTTTTACTACCGGTTTGGGCAAATAGGTAGTAAAAAATGCTTTAAAAAAGTAAAAAAAGAGGTTCCGATGATCACAGCTGTGCCGCGCAATCGTAGGAACCTCTTTTTTTTTACTTTTTTAAAACATTTTTTTTTTACTACCGGTTCACCCAAACCAGTAGTTTTTATCACTACCGATTCACCCAAACCGGAGCGAACCGGTAGCATTTCACCCCTGGATTAGCCCAATATTACTGACTGAATTTCCATGGTTGAGACTTAACCTGTGTTTCACCTGGGTGAGAGAAGGAAGAAAGGGAAGATACTGAATATATTATGATGGACAGTTGGAAGTAAACAGAATGCTGTAAGATTGTCTTCATGAAAAAGAAATGAAGGCCGCAGTCTTAACTATGTTCATATAGATAGAGAATATACTGAGATTTACTTCCAAATAAACATGCATAGGATTTCGTGGAACATAGTAGAAGGCGTTTGTCAGTTCACAACTGAGAATAAATAGAAGTGAACAAAAGAAAATTATTTGGATAATTGAAGGTTGTTTATTACCCATAGCACAACATATAACCAACCTTGACTGATCTAAAAAAAAAAAGCAAATAGGTTTGTCAGCATTCCAGAAAAACCCCAACTCCAAGTAAAGACTCTGAAGCAAGCATTTTTCAAAGTTCTATTTACTAGAATAGGTAAACTGGCACATCTGAGAAAACCGGAATCTGAGAGGTCTGGGTTTTCCCTCAGTGAATCAAAACCCCCCAAACCATCCCCTCCACTCCTCAGTTCATCACATACTCCCATCACCATCCATCCCATCTCGAGACCTCACTCCGACTATCCTTCTCCAGATGCAGGATTGGCCTGACCTTGACCTTGTATTATGTCTACAGACAACCCCTCTACTAAATCCCCCCTCCTACTTTCCCACACAGGAGAAGGTGGCAGCATGGAAGCTTCCGGCCTAATATGGCTTCCAAAGCTGACAAAGTGTGTATCTGGTTAGTACCTGCATAGAAGACCAAGTCATCCCAAGCTTGTAGGTGAGACTGAAAAGTATCCCAGGAAAAAGCAATGGAAAAGCAGCTCTATCTTTTTACATGACATGGATAACTCCATGTAGTTAACCAACATTCATTTGACAGATTCTATTTCTTGTTATAGGAACAATAAGAATCCAGCAAAACGTTAGGCCAAGTAAACAGGGAGAGATGTATGGGAGCATAACTAAAAGCTTTTGGAGAGCATTAGATCCTTTCTTTGTCTAGCTTGTCAGTCGATCTGTCTTGGCAAAAGTTTGTAATCTTCACTCCTCTGTTCCTGCATACTTTGGAGATGCTGCATAATAGCCCTAATAAAAGGTGTAGAGATGCTCAACTTAGTAGTAAGCAGTACAAGTAACACTTAGAGGACTTGAGATTTTGCTCTGGGAAAAGAAGATGACATCATGGGATGGATTGTTTGAGGAAAATGCTTTATACTCAATTCTTCATAATTACACGTTCTCTCAGCACAGAGAAATCAAGGGAAATAGCTACAATTCTGTTGCCTTCATTGCAACTAGCACCATGTAGAAACATTTTGATAATGGGAAATCAATTGCAAGTCAGACCCTGCCTTTATTTCTTCAGCTCTTAGGCTGGTCCCAAGTGACACTCAGAAACCGAAAAGATCCAATAAAAGAGAATATATGTAGCTCAGGGTTGAACTGTGGAGTCCTGCAGTGCTCTCTGAGCTTGGTTGTCAGCACCAAGAACTCCACAAAACAGAAAATATTTATTTGGTGGCTTGTAATGGAAAACTATACCCTCAGTTGCCTAGCAAGCTAGGATTTCTTTTTCTTGACCTTCAGTAAAATAAGATAAAATTGTAATAGCCTTTGTTTAGCCTGGGCTTTTTTGGAATGAAAAAAATACTTTCCATTAAGTTGCAGCTCCCAAATTGCCTCTATGATTCAAGAACAGAAGGCAGTACTTAATTAATATGCCTTAGGTAGGTACTTCTCTACTCGAGAGTAGGGTGAAAATAACTGGCTATGATTGTTTGGTCTAAAAGGGGGGTTATGTATCTGTAGCCAAACATGATTAGAAGCCTGCATATATTCAGGAACTTTGCCTTCTTGGGATTCCTAACATGGAAAGCATGCTGATGTAGATCACTTTTTTTTCATTCAGCTGTTTTTCAGCTCTTTTAAATAACTATATATGTGTCTCTAAAAGCAGCTAAATGCACATGAATATAAAAAATGAAGCTTGTGGGGTAACCCATAATTTTCCACAACTTTGTTCCTGTACAGGTAGTCCTCGATTTGCAATAGTTCATTTAGTGACCATTCAAAGTTGCAATGGCACTGAAAAAAGTGACTTATAACCATTTTTCACAGTTATAACCTTTGTAGCATCTCCATGATTATGTGATCAAAATTCAGATGGTTAGCAATTGATTCATACTTATGACCATTGCTGTCTCCCAAGGTCATGTGATCACGTTTTGCAACAAGCAAAGTCAATGGGGAAGCCCGATTCACTTAACAACTGGGTTTCTAACATATCAACTGCAGTGATTCATTTAACAATTGTGGCAAGAAAGGTCATAAAATGGGGCAAAACTCAACAACAGAAATTTTGGGTTCAGCTGTGGTCATAAGTCAAGGACTACCTGTACTTAGATTGCATGCTTAAAGGTAATGTGATGACCGTATTTCCACCTGTATTTTACTACTTAACTGTTCACCCATAGGATTGGCGGATGTCATTTTGGATTTGAAATTATTGGAAATGGCTGCCACTGAGGACGTGTTTGAAGAATAGCTTCTCTCCCAAGTAGCAAAGGGTGAGGTTTATCCCTGTTAATAACGAATGTTAACCCTCTTTGATAGACTTAAACAAAATGTCACTAACTTTTCTTCCTGCCGGTTTCCACTTCCCCTTACCTCAAGAATTCCCAGTCTTGAGTCATGACCTCCAGAGGCACAGCAGTTCTGAGGGAGGTCGCTATGTTTGGGGACTTATGTGTACAGAACTGGAGATTAAACTTGTTTTGGCTGGCTGAGGCAAAGCAGAGAGCAAAGTACTGGAACGGCACCAATTCATCTACACCTCAGGATGAATTGGCAAGGCAAACACTGCATCAGTTTGCAACAGAAGGGGAAGACACATAGTCTCATTTCCACTTGTAAGGCCAGCCTCAGGATTGCCAAGCACACCAACTTACTCCACCTAGGTATTTGGCAGGTAAAAGCAGGTTATTATTATTATTATTATTTATTATTATTTATTGAATTTCTATACCGCCCTACTCCCGAAGGACTCAGGGCGGTGCACAGCCATGAAATAAAACACATAGATATACAAAATTTAAAATCGAATAAAATGAATTAAATAAATTTGGCTGAATTAATACCCAATTTAAAATACCCATATTTTAAAATCCATTAAAAATTTAGAATTTACACTTAAAAGGGAGAAGATTTAGGCGAGGCCAGCTTGATGAAATAAAAGCGTCTTCAACTCGCGGCGGAAGGTGCGCAGATCCGGAATCCTCCGTATCTCTGGGGGGAGCTCATTCCAGATCGTCGGTGCCCCCACAGGTTGCCCTCAAGTTTGGTGAAGAAGGATCATCTTACTCAGTAGTCAACATCAAAGATAAAGGGAAACCATTTCTGCCCACAAACTCACAACGTCCCAGAGATAAAGAATAGACATGATTAAATTTCTCACTAACTAACCTCTCCATTTCATTTGACCAATTTGCTTATTTTCCTCAGACTATTTCCCCTGATAATACAGATTGATTTTGCTTTCTGAAAAGAAAAGTCTATTGTGTAGCTACATCAGCTTGTTGACTAATGAGTGGGGAGTAGTTTAGAGTCAATACCTGGGCTGGGGTTGATAGCAGATAAAACAAAGCATGCATGCTTCCACACAGAAAAATGTGTTATGGGGATGGATATGAGGCCTACAGACTCAGAGATCAAACAATCCCAACATATCTAGTGGAAACCAAGGGAAGGAAGGATGGCAAAGAGGTGAAATGAGGATTTTCCCAAATAACTAACAGTGGGAGCAAAATCCCACTGATGTGTATAGTTAGAAAAGGTAGGAAATTTTTTTTTGTACCGGTGGTCCTCAACTTAATGACACAATTGAGCCCAATTCTGGGATTTGTAATTAACGTCTGCAAGAACTGTAATGAAGTAAAGTTTGGAATTAAAGCAACTGAAAAATCCATTATTTTCTCTGAACCAAAAGACAGTAACATTGAAAACTTTGACCAATTTATAATGTAAACTCCCATTGCACATAGGGATTTGCTCCATGACAAGTCTTTTTATTTTCTTACTTCGTATCAATTTAATGCCAAGACTAATTATGTTAGGATATGTAGGTAGCTGCCTGGAACCATTAAGGATTGTCCTCTAAGTGTGGAAATATGTATTTTACTAAAATGATGCTCAGTTGCTGGATAAATGCTGGAGTTCTTATTCAGCAGGCATTTGAGAGTAGATGAAACATGTCTCTTTGTCACAGATTCCATTTTGCCTCATAAAAGTCCTGTGCGTTAGACAGAAAATACTGGATCAAAGTTTCCCTAGTGAATGAATAGCAATTTCAACCCAAACACCCAAGTCCTGACTTAACATGCTCTATCATACCTAAATCATTCTGAGGTTAGCTTTGAGAAATTCTACATTGTGTTATTTATGTTGCCTTGACTCTCGCGCATCAGATATTGTAGATATAAAACCAGCAAACATGGAAGAATTGACAGAAGTGATTACAGCTGCAGAATTCCATCCACATCACTGCAACACCTTCGTCTACAGCAGCAGCAAGGGGACAATAAGATTGTGTGACATGAGAACGTCTGCTTTGTGTGACAGACACTCCAAATGTGAGTATGGTCGAGCCGTGTGTCGAAAGACATAGTAAAAAGGAAATGTTGAAAATGAATTTTGTATTATGGAAGGATTTCCTCTAGCATATAAAAGAAAAAATGCATTATGGTGTGGGTTTTTTTTGTTTTTTGTGATAAGTGGCCTCCATTTATCCTTCTTCAAGATAAAGAAAAAAAGTACAGTAATCTCTTCCTTTGGTGATCAACTCCTTTCTACTTTGCTAACTAACATGAGGAATGATTTTTTTTCCTTTGCCTGTGAAATCCATCCTACTGGAACAAGCAACCTCCAGAAAACACTTCCATAACTGATTCATTGGGTTCTTAGGTATCTTCTTTGGAAGGTTAGTGTCAAACTGGAAGTTCAAAATACACAGAAAATGCCTGGATGGCACAAGAAATGGCATAAGCAGTGGACTGCTGATTTCATGCATGGGAAACCTGGTTATGCCACTAAATTTTGTCACTATGAAAGAGAAAAAATGGAATTATGGCTTACTAAAAAAAAGCAACCCAAGGCTTAGTTTTTTCTTCTCCCTGCTCTAGATAAGCAAATCAGAGGCATTTGGCTCTACGTTGTATAAAATTATCCTTTGATTTAATATTCAAGAATGCAGCCACCGGTGTCCACAAATCATAGCTTGCTTATAAACCAGGGTTATGCCCTACATCACAAAGGAAGTGATTGAGACAATAATCCAGATTAAGATATAACCCCACTTGTTCCTGCAATGATACATCATGGTTTGATGCTAGAGCTGAACCAATTTATATCTGCTTTTTCTATATACTGTGTTTCCCCAAAAATAGGACCTACCCCAAAAACAAGCCCTAGCCTCAGTTTTATGCTTGCATTTAATATAAGCCCTACCCCAAAAAATAAGCCCTAGTTAAGTCCCGCCCACTGTCTGGTTGTACAAGTTGGGGCGAAGGGCAGGCATAAAAATCAAGATGGGGGTGGAGCTATCCCACATGCCTTGCACCCATTTACCTTAGGATCACTGCAGCCAGGCCTCCCATGCCCCAACACCTGTTGTGCTGCCCAACTTCTTCTGTGGCTGCTCGCAGCTGCACACCTCATGGTGGATCACACCGGTGCTGCCGCTTGCTGCAGGATGCCACATGGCAGGTTGCGCCGCTGCATACACCAGGATGCTGCGTGGCGTGTTGCGGCAGGAGCTTGGCACGTTGTGCTTGTGTCATCGCTCATAACACGCAGCTTCCTGCCGCATGTGGGTAAGACATCCCCTGAAAATAAGACCTGGTACTTATTTTGGGGCCCAAGACAAAATAAGACGGTACATGTTCTGTTTTTCCTATACTACCCTGTTCCATTTCTTGAACAAGACCCACATTTTGACTTCTAGAAATATTGATCAACTTCCTAATATAAACAATAAATTTTCCAAAGATTTTGTGATCCCGGTTATTATTTTAAAGTACATTCTTCTTCCTTTTTTGAACTATTGAAGTATAGTTTGGGATGACAAATTAAATTCTAAAGGTGATCTCCTTCTAGGATAAAAAAGTTTCCATTGCCTATATTACTACTGTAATTTAGAGTGGTCTTTTGCTACCAAATCAGTTCCTAACCTCTAATAATCAGTTTCTGGAAATGATCTCTTCGGTCTTATCTCTCCAATATAGTAGAAAATCCCATAGCAGCCAATTATTTGGCTGCTGCAAGTGTCTGATTCTATTGCTTGTATTGCTTGGTTAGCCTGGGTATTTTTTTTTTCACTCCTTCCTCCCGCTGTCTGATTACTGTAAAATAGAAGGTTCAGTTCAGATTAAATATATTAATAATAAGCTGCAAGCTGGGATCATTTCCTTCCTTTCCCAACAACAGATCCCTTGGCTTAGTTAGTGTTATTCCTTTGTTCTGTTGCTGCTGCTGCTGCAGTGTCCTTTAGAGCTCATTCAAAGCAATTGTGAAAACAAGTTCAGATTGATCTCTCCCTTGATGGCCAATATTGATTTTTTTTTCTATCCTTCAGAAGTGCAGCTCCTCAGTCGATTGTGATTCAGCAGACCTAGAAGTTAGAATTTAGGTTGTTCATCAAGATTCAAAATAAATGCAATTCTGCCCTTTAAAGATGATCTTCCCTACCCCCAGAGGAAATCTTTTATAAACGTGCTTTAATCAGCCTCTTCTCTAGCACATCCCATATCTGTGGTTTATTCCTCAGTTTCAATTTAAAAAGCCAACTCACAATTCTTCTCTGGGCAAAGAGCATTCTTGACATAAATATGGCTGTTCGCATCTGATGATCTGTCCTGGATCTTTAATGAAAAGAAGGACTAGGGGTGACATGATAGCACTGTTTCAATATCTAAGGGGTTACCACAAAGAAAAGGGAGTCAACCTATTCTCCAAAGGCAGAATGAAGGCAGGACAAGAAGCAATGGATGGAAACTTATCAAGGAGAGAAGCAACCTAGAACTAAGGAAAGATTTCCAGACAGTTAGAACAATTAATCAGTGGAACGACTTGCCTCCAGAAGTTGTGAATTCTCCAACACTGGAAGTTTTTAAGAAGAGATTGGACAACCATTTCTCTGAAATGGTATAGAATTTCCTGCCTGAGCAGGGGGTTGGACTAGAAGACCTCCAAGGTCCCTTCTAACTCTGTTATTCTGTTAATACAGTTTTGTACCAAACTCTACCATCTTCACTGGCAAGTATGCCAGTACACTCTTTCCTTACTACCCCTTTCCTTTTTCACTTGGGAAACATGTATTAAATGGGATTGTGCAACAAGGGCTGCTGCATCTCCCCAAATGCCAGTCTGATTGGTGCCCCTGGATTATGCAAACTCACTTTTTCACCATTTCACCTTTGATAGATTCTACTTTCGGACTGCATTCCTTTTCCTCACTGGCATTTGCAAGGTTTGACTTGGTAAAAAAAATAATAAAAATTACCTGACACATTGCAATGAGATACTGGGCCTGATGCAGCAGATAGTTGGCAAGAGAAGGAGAAATGGGTTAGGAGAAGCACTGGAGCTTATAATGCAGTTGATTTCAAAGCAGTTGTATTTTTAATGAGAGCAGAAAGCAGGAAGTCTTAACTGAAAGGGAAAATGTAGGAAGAGAAATGTAAGGTCTTCACTTTCTTTTCCAAGTTGTCAGGTCAATTTGGCAGATATTGAAGCAGCCAAACAACCTTCCAAATCACAAGCAATTTTTAACCTGTTTCAGGTTCTTGTCCTCAGTTCTGTGGGTTTATGCCCTTAGATTGGCATGTCTCTTTATGGCCCACACCATCTTTACTGGATGAATATGCCCAGCAGTTGGATAATCTGCCATCCAATGTCTACCTCCAGAAGCCACCACCAGATCACATTCACCATTATTTTTTTTAAGTCACCGAAATCAAGTTCACTGTTATTGTTGCCTTCTACTCTCTTTTTCATCTGCTTTCTATTTATCCTCTACTTGCTTCAATCCAGCAACACTCTTATTATCCAAACATATATCCTAACTCAATGTCTATCACTGTCCCTTCTTTCATTTTCCATCGAGGACTTCTATCATTTTCTCCATTTCCAACTCTTCTTACCACTGGAATTACAATCCATCCACACTCAGAGCAATTTTGGGGAAAAAAATAATACAGAAGAATGGTTAAATCCTTAATTAAGATCCTTAAGTTTGATCAAAGATGAACCTCATGGTTGCTTAAGCATTTGGTGCTGATTTCATCACTGTAAGGAAAGGGCCGATGTATCTGCTGTGTGAGGGCAATGTATATTTAGTACTACAGGTAGTTCTTGACTTACAATGATTTGTTTAGTGATTGTTCAGAAGTTCAGTGGCACTGAAAAAGTGACTTATGACTACTTTTCACATGTACGGCTATTGCAACATCTTGGTGGCTATGTGATAAAACTTCAGTCACTCGGCAACTGGCATCTATTTATGATGGTTGCAATTTCCCAGGGTCATGCAATCACATTTTGTGACTTTCTGATAAGCAAAGTCAATGGGGAAGTCAGATTCACCTAACAACGTTACTAACTTAATAACTGCAATGATTTACTTAACAACTGCGGCAAGAAAAATCATAAAATGCAACAAAAATCACTTAACTACTGGCTTGCTTAAGCACAGAAATTTTGGGTCTCAAATGTGGTCGTATGCACTACAATATCTCCTTTTCTTTTCCTCTTCATTTGTCCCACATAATTGCAGGTTCTGTTTCTTTTTACATTTTGCTTACCTAGTTCTTACAGAAAAGCTATCAATGCATAACATGACGAGGGTTTCTGATTATCAGCTGACTTTTTGAAGAGTCTGATACTTATTAGAGGTGAGGCAAAATGACTTCCTAAGAGGTCACCCATGCAGTTTCTGTGGAAGTCTAGAACCTGAGATTCCCTGCTCCTAGTCCAGCACTTTTAACCATCAGACCATACTTGCTCTCAGGAATGATATAATGTATGGAATGTTAACTCAGTTCTTCATATCATATTTGCTTGGTAGCATTTGCGTAACTCAGAAGCATAAATAATCAGCAAACAAAATCTGCTTGTGGGCATCAAAGCAGCTTTCTAGCTGAACTTTTGTTGTGCTCTTGGATTCCAGAAGAGAAGCTGCTCTTTATAAAACTGTCTTGTTCTTGGCAGATAGCCACTGCAGAAGATGAAGTGCTCTAGGTTTCGTTCCCAGGGCACTCTCAAGGGTGACATCTCTGAACAAAATTGTGAAGAGAAATAAGATTCCCGGGAAAAGAAATGCAATTTTTTAAATGTCTCTACTGTTAGTCATTCAATTTTAATTTAATTTTGAGCCTTTTTTCTAGACCTTGAAAGACAAAGCTTCATTGCCATAAAACTTGTATTCATTTACATTTTTTATATAATCAGATATTTCCAATGAACTATGAATGTTACCAAATCCAATTTTTTGCATATATTTCTGTGCAATTCTATATCTGTTAACTAAACATAGATGGGTGGGGCCATGCAACATTAATGCATAAGTGCTTCATGA